AGCACTGTTGGATATCACAGGGTGTCACTGACTTCCACAGTGGCCCTAGGAAGAAAGACTCAACGTTGTCTTCACCACTCCACATGGAAACTAAGGCTCAGTGAGGGAAGGTCCCTTACCTGAGAGGTCCACCCATAGTCTCCTTTCCTACAACTAAAGTGAGCCTTTGTCTCAAAAGAAACCTCTCAACAGTTCATCCACAGGACTTTTGCAACATGGAAATTGTCTTCAGCCCCAATGGCCTCCATCTAGTGTTTTGAGAAGATCTCCCCATGCAGCACTCACTGACTGGGGACTGGAGCTCACTGTGTAGACCAGCTAGCCTCAAACTGTGCCAGCTGGGATTGCAGGCATGCACCGCCACACCAGCTTCAGAATTTGTCTTCTGATGCCAGGTGCTTTCACCGAGCAGAACTGGGATTACACCATGCACCATGCACCTGACTTTCTTTCCATAAATGAATACTATCTCAGCACGAATGTATGCTCATTTGTTCATGAAACGGAGGGCACCATGTCACTTCCATCTTTGGTTCCTGTGAATGATGTGACTGTGATAATGAGTGTGCAAGTGTCCTTTGAGACCCTGTTCCAATTTTTGGAGGCAGACATACAGAAGTGGATCAAGCATACAGTAGTTCTTTTCTTTTATTTCTTTTGGGGGAACCAGTATCCTGTTTCCATAGCAACTGCACCATCAGGTCAGTGCTTCATCTTGTTTCCATAGTGACCGAACCATTGATTCAAAGCATCCTCTTCACATCCTCGCCAACACTTGTTATTCTCTTTCTCTTGACTGTGGCCATCCTGACATGTGGAAAGTGGTACCTCCTGGCTGGTTTGTTTTTAAAATTTAGTGAGTGAGAGTGTGTGTGTGTGTGTGTGTGTGTGTGTGTGTGTGTGTGTGTGTGGTGAGTCTATGCACATCTGCCACTGTGTGCATGTGGGGGGTCAGAGGACAATTTTGTGAATTTATTTCTGTCCTTCCACCTTTCATGGCTTCCAGGGATCAAACTCGGTTGTCAGGTTTGCTAGGCAAATGCTTTCATCTGCTGAGCCATTTTGCTGACCTCTTGGCTTGTTTTTGTTCCTTTTGAGAAGGTCTCCTGTGGTCCAGTCTTGAACTCTTTCTATGTAGCTAAGGCTGGCCTTGAACTTGACAGCAAGGCCATGTCTATACAGCAAGGCTCATGATGGCTCTCGGTGAAACTATGTCGTGAGCCACAGGCCTACAAGAAAATTGGACTAGCCCTACATGCAGGACCTGTGGGCCCTTACCCTGGATGGGATTTGTGATTTTGTGAGTCTCAGAAGAAAGATGACACCTACAGAGCCCACAGACATGCCAAGAGTCCTCCCCAAGCCTAGGCAGGGCCCTGGGAGTCACCCAGTGGATGCTCCCACTCGCCAGAAGAAAGATGACACCTACAGAGCCCACAGACATGCCAAGAGTCCTCCCCAAGTCTAGGCAGGGCCCTGGGAGTCACCCAGTGGATGCTTCCACTCAAAGTGGCTGTAAGAAGTACCCAAGTGGCTGGGAGATGCTTCTAGCACAGAATTCCTCAGGCTGGTGGCTGGCCATTCCCAGCCTCCTCTGTGAGGCCTCCTTGTGAGCTACCGCTGTGGCTCAGCTGTCATCCCCTAGCTCTGTAGCTCAAGCTTTCCCTCAGCAAGGCTGAACCAGGGTGGGCAGGACCCACCTGGGACAGGGAGACACATTCTCAGCGACTGTCAGTTTCACACGCACACAACTTGACCCATGTGTGTGTACTAACACACAGACACACAACATTCTGACACAAGGGTGGCACAGCCATGATCCAAACCAAGCTCCCCTCATGCACAGACGCATACAGAATACTCTCACAATCTGTCAGGATGGCCAGCCAAGAGACCCAGAAAAAAATACAGCACCCCTGCCACACA